ACTTAATAATAATGTATACTTTACTGATCCCCATTGGGAAATTGCTCTCTGCATTTAACCCATTCACTCAGTGAAGCAGTGGGCAGCTACTCGGCACCCAGGGAGCAGTGTGTAGGGTTGGTACCTACTTTGGGATACCTCGGGGTAGGTTCAGTAGATTCAAACCCCCGACTTTCCAATCATTGGGCCACCACTCTGCCTACTGAGCTATCCCTGCCGGCCCCCATAAAACTCCCAAACAGCTGATAAGTTACAGACCCATGGAAATCCATCAAGATAACAATGGTCAAATACACTTTAATTTTAATGATTGCAAGGTTAAAACAGAATTTACATTACTCTCTAAGGTATGAGAATGACACTGAAAATAATTTAAAAAGCAGCCAATCTCCAAAGAACAACTTTAAAAACAACTTAATAAATCCCAGAGAGCACTTAAAAAAAGTGATTTTCAGCATTTACCTTCTTTTAAATTGTATATATTTGTAGATTAGATTGAAATGTATGAAGGAAGAACTGTTTACTGGAGGAAGAACTGTTTACTGGGAATACGTTTGGTGATTTGCAGTGTAAAATGTCTGAATGGTTAAACTGACTATAAAGTTTGATCCATTTATTTTACATCTTCAAAACATAACTTTAAGTTTTTATATTTTAATTGGTAAAGAAGTTTACAACGAATGTTATCAAAACAATGTGAAATTCAATTTGGTTTTATTTATACAGCACCAAATCAAAACACTGGCTTCAATGCACTTTATATAATAAGGTAACGACCACAATAACATTGAGAAAATTATCTATAGCTAATATAAGGTAAGATAAACCTTTATTAGTTCCCCATGAGGGAAATCTTTTGGTCTTTGGTTTAGCCACCATTCTCCTGTCACTCACCACCTCCACCGGGTCCAGAGGGCATTCTAGAACAGGTCTGGCCCTCCGGATAAGTCTGTTCAGTCTTTTCCGGTCCCCAGCAGAGATGCTGCCTCTCCAGCAGACCACACCGTAGAAGATGGCTGAGGCCATAACTGAGTCATAGAAGGTCTTCAGGAGTGGGCTCTTCACTCCAAAAGACCTGAGTCTGCACAGGAGGTACAGCCTGCTCTGCCCTTTCCTGTAGAGGACATCTGAATTTTGAGTCCAGTCCAGTTTTGAGGTTTCAAGAAGTTTATTGGAAATTATGTATCAGAATTTTAGGAGCGGGACCACGCCTCCAAACATGTTCCTTCCGGTTCTCATCTATATAGGTTTCTACAGTTCTCCAAGATGTTCAATCTTGTTTACATGCCCCACCCTGCCTCCCTTTTTCAATTCTTCAACTTCTTCACTTCTATTTAGTACATGGGGATCTGCCAGACCCGGGAGCCATTGCCAGTCCCCTTCAAGGCCTTCCCCAAACTGCAGCTCAATTCATGTCCAAGCATTCACCTTTGCCTACTAAAATGCTGTCAAGCCTAAAATGAAGACGTGGGCCCAGCTAGTGAATTGTCATTTCGTATGGTGTTACAGAAGCTGAAACAAAATGCTGTTTCTCACCAGCCTCTTTAGTGCAATAGTCAATTAAAAAAAATAAAGTTTTAAAAGAGAGCAGTAAAAAGGCAGTAATAAATTGTAACAATAAATAGGTATAAATAACATAAAATCTAAATTCTAAAACAAACTCAAGTCTAAATAGTCACACTCATTCAGGTAGCAGCAGTCCTTTCACAGAAGGGGAAAATTAAATCAACTAGTGGGTCTATCTGAGGAGTATATTGCATGTGTGTGTATGTGTATGTGTCCATCTGTGTGCAAATAGGGGGCATCAAAGTCCGCTTGTAGATCTTACAGTACAGCTGTGTAAATAGCTGAATGTATGGGGAGGAGGCACAATCCATTTATCACTCTCACACTTGTGCAAAGAACCCATCCAGCATCCTGGTTGTTCTGCAGCTGATGCTCCTGTACCTCTTGCCAGACAGCAGGAGGGACAACAGGCTATGAGAGGGGTGGTGGGAGTCTCTGATGATGGAGATAGCTCTGCGTATTTTGTCAGCATGTTTTCAGTGGTGCCTCTGTAAAAAGTTGTGAGATGAAGTATGGAGAGTCCTGCATTTCTGAGTCTCCTGAGGGAGTGGAGGTGCTCATGTGCTTTTTTGATAACTGTTGTCGTATTAACGGAGAAGGACAGATTATAAGTTAGGTGCACCATAGACTTTCTGTTTGACACAAACTAGAAAACTGTCAAATTACTCAGAAGGGAAAGCGGTGTTCTAGTCACACTGTGCATAGTGGGGGTGGGATGTTGGGCCTCTTAAACCCACAAACACTTTTTTGTGTAGAGAAAGCAGCATCTGGGCACAAGGAGGACAACTTCCCAATCACTAGGAGCAAGGTCATTAAGGTATTTAAACACATAAATGATGGCTGGGCCCCTGAGTGTTGCCTTGAGGTTCATCTTGACCTTCTGAGCACCAGAGGGTGTGCTAAAACTACAGAGGATAAGCCTATCCTAACCCTCAGCCTACCTGGGAAGGTCTATGTCAAAGTTCTGGAGAGGAAATTTTATTCTTAGTCAAGCGTCAGGTACACGGTTAGGAAGAACAATGGGGTTTTGTCCTACTCAATAAAGAGCTGGACAAACTCTTTATCCTTTTACTGTCCAAGTTACTGTCCCAAAAGAGAGAGTATCTCAGGGTCTTGTTCATGAGTAAGGAGGAAGGAGCAATGGAAATGAGCTGTCTCTAAAGGGTGGCTGGCCTCTCCGTTAGAGATAGGGTGAGGAGTTCAGCCATTCAAAAGGGATTCAGAATAGAGTGATTACTCCTCCACACTGAAAGCTGCCAGTTGAGGTGGTTCGGGGATCTGGCAATGATGCCTCCTGGGCACCTCCTAGATGAAGTATTTTGGGCATATCACACTGCCGGAGTGTTAAAAAAAGCTTGAAATTCTCATGAGTTGTTTGCAAAAGAAAAATCACCATCATAATGCGGCTACCCCTTCGGCGCCAGCTGTGGGCTCAAGGCTGGAGCTGAACAAAAACTCCCTGATAACGACTGTGTTGAGTCTGTTCCTTCCCATTCCCTACAAGGCCACCTGGGTTGGCTGGAAGACTGTTTACTTAGCCTGGCGGGGCGAAGGACACTGTCTCAGCTGAACTATGGACACGCACACTTATCAGTATCATATACTGATACTGATAAGCACTCACTGATGCATCACCCTCCCTATCCAACGCCACCTCCAACACTTACCTCCCCCATGATGTGGACATCGTGTCAGCTGGAGGCGCAGTCGAAGATTGCAGCGGTCCCAGATCAGATGTACACACTGGAACACTTTCCCATGTTGCTTGTCTGTGTTTATTGTGTTATGGTGTGTTGATACCTGTGCATTCCTGTATTATCCTTTTGTGTTGCACATTTCGATGTTTTTTTCCTCGCTACCTGGCCTGACCTGTCTCCCCAATGTGATGTTTGTATTGTATGTACAGTCAGCAAGGTCTGTTATCTCGGTTGTGGGCAAAAGACCTGCAACTGACAAATAAAGACTATCTCATCTCATCTCATCTCATCTCATAGAAGAAGGCCACTTGGGGAGACCGATAGCACACTGGAGAGATTATACTTCTAGCCTATAAAGTGTTCCCCAGCATAAGCTAGAGGAGGTGGCTTTAGGGAGGAAGGTCTGGGCATATTTCCTGAAATGACTGCCCCTGCAACCTGATCCAGATAAGTGGAAGAAAATGGATGAATAGATGGATAGACAGATGGATGGACAGAGGGATCATGTGTTTTGGTGTGATTTTGAATCCAGCTTTTAAAGGATTGATGATTATGGTTTTTACTGAAAGCTTCATTTTGTTCTTAATAAATTACACAATGTATATAAGTAAAGACTGTCAACTTTAGTAATATTTCATTCATCGACATTCATTTGTTCATTCAAGGGTTCTCTTAATTTTCTGAGTAGTTTATTTGTATTCAAGATAAACATGAAGACTTTTAAGATGATTTAAGAAGATTTTAAGTGAAAATGCTCAGTGTGTACAATAGAAAAATACTCACTGAACCTAAGGAGCTTGGAAAGAAAAGCGGCTTCTTGGATGAGAGGTGAACTGTCTTCAAGCAACTTAAAGAAGTCCAGACACTTTCCTTTCCAAGCTCCTTAGACTACGATGACCTGGATGACTGAGAACCTTCACAGACATACTCACTGAACCCCACTAAATTACACCTCTTCCAAATCTCTATTTGTTGGCAGAAACTTCTGAAGCCTTTCCCATTTCTAATATACTGTAAAGCTACTTTTCTAATCTGTGAGGAAAAATGTTTATGACTGAGTGCCACGACCCATTATAGCTTTTTTCGTGTTCAGTTCTGGTCTCAACAGGATTATGTAACATTTGGGTCCAAACAGTGTGATCAAGAGTCCAAAACTTGAGGCCAGGATAGCAAATACCTCCACTGCATCTGCATAATTTCCCGGTGAGCTGATATAGACAGGAACAAAGGCCACCCATACAGCACAGAAGATCAGCATGCTGAATGTGATGAGCTTGGCCTCATTAAAACTGTCAGGGAGATTTCTCACCAGGAATGCAATTAAAAAACTGAGGACAGCCAGCACACCAATATAACCCAATAACACTGCAAAACCCACAGTGGACCCAAATGCACACTCATAAACAATCTTATCATTTTGGTATTGGGTGTTTTTATGTGGAGTTGGAGAGGAAGAAACAAGCCAGGTAGTGCAGATGGCTGCCTGAATAGATGTAAGGCACAGAACTGTTCCTCTCTGCTGCATAACACCAAACCACTTCAGACTGGCTCCCCCTCCTGGCTTGGAGGCTTTGAA